ACCTGCGATCCTTCGGTCCGAGATCGCTACGGCATTAGCGGTCTCGGCCATCCGGATCGGCCTTTCTTGCTTTTACAAATGAAACAAATAATAATATATTTCTTTAACTGTTACAGTACATGCACAATACAGTGGCGTAATGTTTTCCAATTTTCGAAAATACCGAGATTGTGGAGGAAATGGGACCAGCATCACGTTCTTTACTCTTTTTGGCTTCATACGTGGAAAAAATGAAAGAAAAAAATTGGAGCAGTTTTTGAGCAATGCTTGTTTAAAATTTAACAGCTACTAATGTTTCGCGCAAAATTGTGCAAAAATACTGAAATTTTCAAGCTCTTATTGTTGTACTTGCGTAATTTGTTCGAAAATGTATATGTTTTTATTATATTCTATCATTTCTCTACTTGTAGAAAACAATTCTTGGGCGTTACAATTACACAAATTTCACTACCTAACAAGACAATGATTTTGATATTCTAAATTTATTTTACGCTTACTCAAAAATGTATTAATGATTTTTCAGTAATCCGTAATTATTCCTTAAAGCGATTTTAAACGAAAGTATTCATAAAAAGTAATTTAACCCTTTCCTGTTTTTGAACCAATGTAATGGAAATCGGCAACACTGGGGTTCCCCGGACGGCGAAGTTGGCAACTCGGTGCGACAGCTACCGCGCGTGTCGGTACTTCGGAACGTGGACGTCAGTTGGTTCACGACGGCCGTCTTTCCCGCAGACAGGCGTTGCGCTGCCAATTTTGCAAGGATTTTTGGAATGAACTGCTTCATATAATTAAAAAAAAGATGTTGGCGTCGTAAACGAAGGGGAGATCTTTCACGTCGTTTGCTACGCTGAAAGAATCCGCGGGTTCTTCATTGTTTTTTTGGTAATTCCATCGACGTCGCGAAACTGCTGTACTGCAGGTACTGCTTACTTCCAGTTGCATTATTGCTTTTTGTGGAAATGTGTTTGCTATGTATTGATATGTTTTGCTGCAAAGTTACTTGAGGAATGTTGGAATATTACAAATAGCGTAAATTATTCTCCAACGAATATGACACTACGACATTAGTGTTAGTGAAACATGAAATTAATGACGGACATCTGTCTAATCACTGATAGCTAACTTAGAAATGGATGTTTTATGGATCTAAAATGTTTGATCAAAGATGTTTGGTATTTTTCTGCCAGGAAGAGGCTTTCCTTGGCGTCCTAGAAATTTGACACCTGCTGGGGTTAATCTTCATTCGTCGTCATTTCTTGTCAAGCACATGTTCCCGCAATCGTCTCTTCGTAGTGCCCTGCCAGCTATATCAGGTATTACGCACATTTCAATATTGCGTGACTTGAACTTTCTGAAAAGTATTTAGTATTCCTGTTTCGCCGAGTTTTATGTTGCACTTCTGTTCGGTTCAACTTTTGTTGAGAATATTATGGAACTAGTACGTTTTTTCAAGTGAATTTATTGTCTTGGTCTACGATCATAAACCTAATATTGTAGATTATTAGTACAGTGCTAATAGAATGAATACCAATAGAAATTTCCGCGATAGGTGTGCTCACTGGAAGAGCTCTTTCCGTATCACAATATTTTTTTGTAATATCAACTATCATTTTCAACAAAGTGCTTTTACTTATTTAAATTTTACAACAATGGAGTACATATAAATAAAATTTTGTTGAGCAGAAGTTCTAATGCTCAATCAAGGGCGGATCCGGAAATTTGCCTGGGGGCAAAACTAATCCGAGAGGGAGGGGACACATGGCCCCCATGCCCCCCACCCTGCCCCCGGATCCGTCCTCATAGAATTGTGGATATATACTCTCTATTGTGGCCAGTTTTTATTATCTTCTCGTACCGTTGGGTAGAAAATACACCCCTTGGGACAGCGCCCACTGTAGTCGCTTTGAGAATGCTAAGTTTTTAGTGCGAAAACTGAACACGTATTTTGTAACGAATGAAATGTAAAATCTCGACTGCGGTTTTCTCAATCAAAAATCATAAAGTAAACCAAATAGATCTAAAATTTAAATATGATAGCGAATATGAAGTCAAATTCTTACAACAATATCAACGTTTCCGTGATGTAGAGAAAAACAGGTTTCTTTGAGATGTTTTAAGTATTATGTATTTTGAGTCAGTAGACCTACTCAGACGCATAGGAAGTGTAATTCTTAACAAAACCCAGCCACACAAAATAAATTAATTAATTTGGGAGAAGATTCGGTTGGAAATTCTAAAGATCTTAAATGTGATAGATATAGGTCAAATAAAAATAGATATTCAATAATATAGAGATTTAACAGAAAGTTTTAAATAGTTTAAATAGTTTTATAAAGGGAATATTTACACAATTGTAAAACTGTAATGAGTGGAAACAACTTTAATGTGAATTACATACTTTCCCCCTGAGTTTTGTCCAAATGTCAAATATAATAAAATTACTTTGATAACCTGATTAACTTCATTTCTGATACACAGATACAGAAAAAATGTATGCATTACAATTTTTTTTATTTGGAATTTTTATATCACTTATCCAAATAGTATTTTCCAATTTTAAAGGGGGAACAATGAAGAAAAAAACACATCAATTTAGAAAGATAAAAACTTTCTAAAAAAATTTTAAAAAATCTGTTGAAAAGTAATTGAAAGAAAATGTATTAATCAGAATCAATCACAATTCAGAATTAAGTCAGGAGGGCTTTCGCTTTGATGAACTTATCTATAACATCACCCAGGTTCACTTTTTATCGAGTTTGTCACTTACTCTCTTGGACAATATATAATGGTTTTGTTTTTAATATTGTTAGAGGGGGCCCAGGGGAGGGATCACTGTGAGAGCTACATTTGCATCTTTTGACTTGAGCCTTCCTTTATGTTCTAATGAAATCAAATCACAAATAATAAAACCCAGCAAAGAGCCCCCCAAATCATTAAATATAGCAATAAAAAGCTCTGGGAAAACATCTATGCATTCTCATCATAAAATACAAAATTTGAGCTCATTGATTTAGAGTAATAAACAAACCACTTTCAGAAGACACATTTAAATTGTGTTCAGTTAGAAGAAAACAAAAAATTGCTTTTAGGGACTGCAGGTAATTGCACCCGCTGGGCTGGCGATAGTGACACAATTTGTTAGAGAATATACTTGAGATCTCCAGAATGTGAATTGTTATCAGATGCATCCAATTAGTATCAGATGGATCCATCTTCACTTACATAAATTAACATTCCTGAGAACTGCATTATCTTTGTTGTCTGTATGTGAACTTATTCTATTATCATGTACAAGATAATTTGTAATTGCAATTATGAACATTAAATTGACTTTACAAAATACAATAAATTTGAAAAAAAATGCTTTTATAGCAATCTTTCTTCTTACTAGACTGAATTAGAAAATATATTCAAAAGAATTATTTTAAATAAAATTGCTTACTAGATTCCTTCTTTCTATTTTGTTAAAGATTCAATGTAACATACTAGGATGAAGTGCTGGGAAATATTAAAACTTTAAATTGAATTAACATGTGATAGCTAACTAAAAATATTAAAAGATCATTATTTCTAAAACTTACTCTAAATGCAAATTACTCATTTGTAAATATAGTGATATTAGAATCGATCAATATTCTGAATCAATTGTCTACAAACATAATGTTCTCTCCATTCTATCATTAGCATTCATCAATTTTCCAGTATTTTTAACTTTGTTGCATTTGATGTTTTAAATACATCAGGTAACATTAATAACTTCAATTCCCACTACATTGTGTCTCCTGAGATGTAAATCTTTGTTGATTGTGAATGATAAAACCTTGTGTATTCTCTTGGTGTTCCTAATACATAAATATTGAACTTAAAGCCACCCATAAATATATGATAAAGATATTTCAATAAAATAATGTTTTATATCAGTATTTTCCCTATATAAAGACACTTTTGGGTGTAATGCATATTGTTTTATAAATAATTATGTCAATTCATTTTTTAATGTTATTTAGTAGTACTAACATTCAATCATAAACTTCACCACAAGCTGATATACCATAAGTTATAATTGGCCTGAATAAAGTATAAAATATATCATCAATAGTTGTTAAGTTTATAGAATCAATCTCAGTTTAATGAAGACGTATGAAACTTTTCTGTTCCATTTCAAATTTTGGTCAATATGGAATCCAAAATATTTAAAAACTTCGACTCACAATATATTTGGACAATTACAGACCAAATTATCACAGCTTTATGTATGTGATAATATATATCCTGACTTGTCATACATGGCATGCTGTATTTATGTGTCAAATATATTATTATTGTTATTATTATTATATGATAATGATGATGAAGCTTCTTATCACAAGTCTGTGGTATAACGTTCAGATAACTATCAAATGTAAATACAGTCTTTCCTATATTAAAGCTCAGAAAATCACGACAGCCATTTTGTTAGGACAGCTTGACTTCTGATTCTCTTATTACAACCTCTCTGGATTCACCCTTAATAATTTTACTTGTGACTTTGGCAAAAGAAATCAAATCACCTTTGGGCAAAGTTTTAAAAATCTCATTTGTATGTAATAATAATAAAAGTTGCCCCAGAATTATACCTTAAGATTAATCACAATTCACTGTCACCTCTTAACCATATGGGCCATTTATTTTCACATATAGCATTCTATTCAATTCATAACAATTTTTTAGCTTTAGAAAAGTTGAACTTGTGTATTTATTAATTCCAGGAAGTTTGCTGGTCAAAGAAGAAGAATTGCAAGTGAAGTTGATGCCTGGAGAAATACTTAGGAAAAAAATTCCATTCTTTGAACCCCTTTATTCATTTGCTTAAATATTTTTTTATCAAGTTCATACTAAAATTGCTTAAATTTGTATTTGCTAATTGAATATCAAAAATGTCTTTTTTTAGTAGATCTCAAATTATATTGACGGAGGGACAAGTAATTCATCAACTTAGGAGAATTTTGAATGTTGTAATGAAATCTTTTGATCATATACCACCTCTGCATGCAGCAATAATGTTTGGTTCAGCCCACACTGTGGAAGCTTTACTAGAGAATGGAGCAGAAGTAAATTCTGAAATGCAGCATGGAATTACCCCATTATGTTTAGCAATTTTAAAAAATAATTTGGAAATGTTAAATCTCATTCTCACTTTCAGAGCAGAAGTTAATCATGAACTTTGCATTAAATTCACTCCTCTAATGCTTGCTTGTGAAATGCACTCTATTAATAGCATTCGTGTCTTGGTTGACAAAGGGGCTGATGTCCATGCTAAAACAGAGAAAGGTAACACTGCATTGCATTTGGCTGCTGAAAATGGTTTGGTTAACATAATAAAAATTCTTTTACATTATGGGGCTGAAGTAAATGTGAAAAACAAAGCTCACGTGACGCCTTTGCATGTAGCATGTGCCAACAACAAACTTGAAGTAGTGAAAATTCTCCTTAAGAATGGGGCTGATGTAAATTTAACCGCAACTGGTATAAATGAAAAAAAAGAGGAAATAAAAAAAATAACTCCTTTGCATCTAGGAGCAGGAACATGTGCAGAAATAGTGGAAATTCTGATCCAAGCCGGAGCTAGGGTTAATGTTAAAACTAGTAATAAAGTTACACCGTTACACATTGCTTCCCAGAAAGGTTCATCCACCATCGTAGATATCTTATTGAAGGAAAATGCTCAGGTAAATGTTGCAGATTATGAGAATCTAAATCCTCTTCACTTAGCAGTGCAGAGCAACAATCTTTCAGTTTTGAAATCTCTTATTTCCAAGGGAGGTCATGTAAATTCAAAAGGATTTCAGGGCTGTGTACCACTGCATTTGGCAGCTGAGCTAGGTTATTTCCCATGTGTGAAGGTGTTGGTGAGTAGAAAGGCAAATGTGAATGTCAGAAATCTAGGTGGAAGTACACCTCTGCACTTGGCAATTCAATACAAGCACACAAGAGTTGGCGAATATTTAATATTGAATGGAGCACAAATATCTGTGGAGGATGACCTGCGATGGACCCCTTTGCATAATTTGTCATATAATGGCTGTTCCTTGAGAATAGCTCAGGCATTAATTGAAAGAGGTGTTAGCGTTAACGCTAGAACAAATGATGGTAGGACCCCTCTTCACTTAGCATCAGAGAAAAATCATGTGAAAATAGCACGGGTACTTCTTGAAAATGGTGCATGTTGTAATTTACGTGATGGGAAAAACTGGGCTCCTTTGCATTATTCCACATTTGAAGGTCATGTTGAAATGACAAAATTTTTGCTTTCTAAAGGAGCTCATATCAATGTGAAAACAACCATAAGCACCACACCCTTACATTTTGCAGCCAGTCAGGGACATCTTGCAGTGGTGAAATTACTAACTGACAATGGAGCAGATATTAATGCTCTGGATGACACAAGATGGACCCCTTTACATTTTGCTGCAGACAAAGGATTTGATAAAGTAGTTCTCCATCTCTTGAAGAGTGGAGCAGATACTTCTATTCAAGAGAGTAAAAACTGGGGAACCCCTCTTCACATATGTATTCAGCAAGGACATTTGAAGATTGTTAATCATCTTGTTACTCATGGTGCTGATGTGAATGCCAAAATGCTTTTTAGTGTTACTCCCCTACACCTTGCAGCACAAGAAGGATTTTTAAATATTGTAAAATATTTGATTTCCAATGGTGCCAAATATGATTGTCGGGTTAAATGTAGATCAATGGACACTCCTTTAAGCCTCGCACTAAAATCCAGCAGAGATATAAGTGTGGTAAAATTTTTAGTTGCAACAGAAATGATGATGAATGCTGTAGGTCATGATTGTGTTTCAAATTTCAAAGATTGTTTAGATGATGGAGCTTTCATTAATACACAGAGTTTAATTTATGGTGCTCCTATATTACTGGCTGCTCAACATAAATCAATTCAGGTATTGCAATGCCTCCTTGAAAGGGGAGCTGAGGTAAATCTTATTGATGATGATGGATTTTCAGCACTTCATTTTGCTGCCATTAATAATTCTCTTGATATTGCTTGTATCTTGCTTAAAAATGGTTGTTTATACAATATTAAAACATACGAAGCAAAAAAAACTCCATTAGACTTGACCATTGAAAATTCTGCCCTCTCCTTTTTATTACAATCAATAAATGAAATTTTCCAAAAAGTAGAGAGTGGTGGTAACATAAAAGATGATTTAAAACAATTTGAAGGAAAACCGGATGAACTTGCTGCTGTTCTTGGTGCTCGTAATGAAGAGAATAAGACACTTAGTATGCTCGGAAATGATGATGTCATTCAATACTGAATCGTTTGAAGAAGTTACTATCTAGGATTGATGAGGTAACATTTGAGAAGTATGTTACAATAATATCAATTTTCTGCAGAACAAAACATTAAGAGAATATATTAATTGATTTATGAATCTAATAATTCTGATGAAATTAAAATTTCTTCAGCCATTTTAAGATTTTAATCAATAAATGTGAATTGTGAAAACTCATGTTTATCAGTTGTATATTGTGTTGTGTTGATGTACCTTTGATAATATGTAAATTAGTAGATCTGTGCTCACAATAATAAAGAATCATTACTACAATATTTTGTTTCAGTCATTCCGTAGCAATATATTGACATGTTGGAAACAATATTTTTTATAATGAATTGTGATACATGGATGCAATACTGCAGTAATGCGGGAGTGGAATTTACGTATTATTTTAACATAGGTATTAAATATTTTATTTACATTTCTTTTATGATCATGTCTACAAAGGATTTTCGTAAATTATCTACAGTTAATTTTTCTATTCATGAGATTTATTAATTTTCTTGGTAATAATTCACAATATTATTGAATAGTTTGCACAATAGTCAGGAGGTTTTTGAAATCCAATAGTGAATATCTCAATTTCTTTATGAGGTTCATTATTTAATTTTATTAAATAAATCAAAATATCAAAGAAATGTGGAATAGCCTACTTTAAAATGTGCCATTTTGCCAGTTGAAGAAGAAGCTTTGGGGAAAAGGAAGAAAAAAAGGTAATATGAAAAGAACATGGAGAGAAGAATTTGCAGAACCGAGTCACAAAAAGGATGCGTATTTTCTGTACCTACCTCTGTTCTCAGTTTAGACTAATAAACAATACAAACAATTATCAGATATAGTTCCAAGATTGTTGTTTGATTAAGAAAGAAAATAACCTGACGACGATGAGTTGGACGTATTATTATTAGTATACCAAAGTAGATGGTTGTATGAACTTTATTTTTACAATACATCTGTTTAAAGGCTAAATGTACTGACACTAGTTCAATTTGTCGCCACCACGTAGCAGCACCAAAATAAGCCAAAATTACTTTACTAATAACGTCTGAACAAGTGATCCGATTTTCAATCAGTAAACGACATATGATTTGTATTTAATACAGAATTTCAACTACGAAGCCTCTGTGGGGAAAAAATTGAAATATTAGTTTTGGAATTATTTTAATAGTTCTGGGACGAAATTTAAAAATATGGGTTTATGGTGAAGTGCTTCCTGAATCCAACGCTGTATCAATCGTCCAAATCGGCTGAATGGGCGCGTCGTAAAGTGAAATTTGGCTAAATACAATCCCCCCACCCCCATGCCGCGCCGCCGCCACGGGTGGAGGCGCCGGCTCGTAGGGCCACGGAAGCATTCCGTAAAAGAGGTAGGAGGAGCGGGTTGGGAGCGAGGAATGCAATCAGGCGGTTCTCTTGTGACCCCACTGGGATTTGTCAGATAATGCTTTCGCTCTTTTTCGCATCACATTAGTTTTACATTCTTGTATACATATGTATATACTGAGTAAATATGTAGTGTAGTGAAAGCTATGTAATGTTGCGGAAAATCGATTTCGAGATTTCAACGAAATGCATATTTTGGAGCTCTCTGATACCGAAAAATTGTTGTTTTTTTTTCTTTTCAAAACGTCCGTCTGCCTGCCCATTTGTGATCCACACTAGGGCCGAAACTACAAGTAATCCTAGAATTTTATCGAAAATGAATATTCATAGATCGATGAGGCGTGTCTCAAAGCGTTAGAAAAAGAATGTTTAAAATTTGGGGATACTTTATATGACGCCTCTGGGACATCTTTTATATTTTCTCAAAAATGATTCCTAATTTTTTCTTCAAATTTGTTGTAAGAATATATTGAAGTATGCTTCTTAAAATGGCATAGGTCTGATGTTTACTGTTAACTTTGATTTTTTTGTTACAAAAGTTTGAATTTTTCTCGGCGTCTCTTCACAACTACAATATTGAAGATAAAGATTTTTTTCTTCAAATGATATTGATTCATCCTAACTAGTCCTTTCGTTGACGTCATGCACATTTCATTGAAAATGTTAGTGGTTTTTGTGCCAATTGCGTGAAATATATTAAACACAAAAAATATTAAAAGCAAGAATTACTCAAAAACTGCCCCAATTTTCTTTCAAACTTTTCATAGTGATGGTACTAATTGTCCTGTGTAAGATGACATAAACGCCGTGTTGATCTATTCTTTTGTTTGTTTTTTTCAAAACTTATACAATTGTTTGTTTGTTTGTGTTTGACATTTCGCTCATGTTCTTAATATTTACATTACCGGCGGCTAGTGTACATTATTGCGTTTGTGAGTACTCGTGCTTTAAATAATGTCACATAAATAGAGATCCGAAAATATGTAGTATGAAACGTCAAAATATGTACATAAATATGTAATGAAAACAGTAAGAATATGTAATAAATATGTATAATAGGAAAAATATGTAATATCAAAATACACCAATTATAAAACGAACATTTATATAATACGATATATTTATAAAAAAGTCCGAAATAAATTTTAAAAATAATACACACGTTTTAAAAATAATTTGGAGAGTTTAAATTGTTGCATGCTTTGTACCATACAACTTTCCCGTCAGTTGTAAACACTTCATCTACTACTATTCAGTATGGTCGTTTAGCAGCCAGACTAGACGCAATATATCCCACATCCTACAAACTGGCAATATCTACGACCAGCAAACAATCAGTTTCCTAAAGCATTCTCAGCGAAGAGTTACACGTTGACGATTGGCAAAGTTGACGAGAAATTGGCAAAGTTGACGAGACGCGGCGTCAGTGATACTTTCCACACCTGAAGGTGAAACTGATCTCAGTTACTGACGCGCACTTCCTGCCACTAAGATAACTGATGCAGTCAAGCAAGACTGTGAGAACATCCTACCACGTCTTTAAGTAGCGAACCTCGAGTAGACAGCATGCAGTAACGATGTAGGAAATAAAGAGTATTTTTAATACTAATTTTCGTAAAACTCAGTCATTTTCAAAAACACTCAAACGTCAGTTTCTTAAAAGTTTTCAAGGAAAATGTCCATCTATGATGAGTTTTTACATTTCTATAGTATTTGTAAAGTCATATTTCGGTTCTATTTCCGAGATTCGGACTAGGAGGGTAGCAAAGACATTTATTTACATGTATTTATTTATTTAATTATTTATTTATTTATTTATTTATTTATTTATTTATTTATTTATTTATTTATTTATTTATTTATTTATTTATGTAAAAAAAGACAAAAACTGTGTGTGACGTCCAACGAGGAGAATGCCAAACTTGCGGAATTTAATTTGAAGTTACATTTATGTCCAGAAGTAAAACAAGGGGCCATCTCAGCATTTGCTCAAGAATCAGGGAAACTAAACGAAAACCTGATCGAGATGGGGGTCATTGACGCAGAAGCTGAAGTACAATAATAATTACAGGTTCTTTAAAATTATTCAGTCCAAATGGTAAATACAAATATTACTTGCCTCTGTCAAAATTAATATTACTTTCCTTTTGGAAGCTCGTTGTAGTATCTAATTGTATAGAAACAGTTGTGCAGTAGAAACGATTTTACTTGGGACTTATACTTTTGTATCTAATTTAGTCGTTTAATGTCACCAGACAAACTATTGTAAAATAATATATGTGTTGTATGTGGATTTTTTGTAGTGAGCTGTTGAAATTGGCACAAGGATTGTAAATGCAAACATCATATAAATTTAATTTCAAAATTTGAATATTCAAAATTAAAACTTCACCCAAAATCCATCTGGTTTAGGAATATCTAACATATTCACGGAAGGAATAATTTGATTCGAAAATGGCAGCGCGCTATTTTACCAGTTTCTCAAATTTGTCCGAAAGTATGAAAACATTTTTATAATTAGCTTAAACTATTTTACTTGAGAAGAGAGTGAATTCTATCAAGGCGACAAACGCCGTTTTGAGATCAAAAATCGAGTCGAAGTATAAAGGTGTTCGTTCTTAATATCTGCTCATTCTTTGTGGCAGTGGAATGGTAACGGAAGATCCCAGTATGTTATCATTACATCTGTTGAAATAATTATAGGAGTCGTCATTGCCAACAATATTATTTATTAAAATAGCAGCTGTCGATGGCTTAGCCATCATCATCAGTTTTCTGCTGTATGGAAGCCACAAAAACGACTAGTCGGGTGTATTGGGTAGTCGTTTTTGTGGCTTCCATTTTTGCCAACGAAAACTCTCCACAATACCAATATTACATCTGTTCTCAATTATTACAAATACGAGAATGTAAAACAATAAGACGTATATTGAAAAACAGCTCTGGGAAGCACTTCAAACTTAGGATTGCACAAGATTGCGTAAAGTTAAACCCAAATTGAAACACGTTTGTTTTTAATGCTGCACTTAGAATGCTGCATATAGAATAAGAATACCTAACATGAGCATAATCAGGAACAGCATTCAATACGAAATAAAATAATACAAATATCGAAACCGTCTAGTATTGAACTTTCTTGACAACGGTGAAATATCAACTCGAGAGGTAGCATATTCTTCATTTAAGCAATAGAATGAAGTCTTTATTAATAAACACAGAGGTATTGAGTGTTAAAATCCAATATAGCATTTAGACCCTATTAGTATACTATTCATAGTACGCAAGTTTCCAAAAATGTGTAAATAAAAAATATAAATTCCAAAAATGAAAAAGAAAAAAAACAACTGAATGTAACCTTTGCAGAGAGAGCTCCGCCTCACTGGTCTGGAACGTCAGAGTATATTTGGCGACAGCGGAAGTGGAAGAGATGTTCTCATGCAGCACTCCTAACAAGCCCACATTCTCTTGGACGTCCTTCAGATTTGCGCTGTGCCAAACGGTAGGGCTACGATCTCCCGAGAAATACAACTTCATCTCGTCGTTGATGTCCTCTATCGCAGTCGTGAGGCGGAGCAGTTGTCCCTGGATTCTCTGCG